ATCACACAAAGTGTTGTCCCAGGCGGGGATCAAACCCACAACACTCAGTGCAATAGAAAACTTGATCTCAACCCTATTTATTTAGGTTTATCCATAGATATAACCTTATTTATAATGTTTCTTTAGAAATATATTCTCTTCTTTCAATAAAATTGGTAAAAATCCATTTTAAATAAATTCTTGACCGATCGTATTACGAAACAAATTCGTATTGAATAAATGTGATTTAATATACCCCTCCGAGTATATTGATAGCCAATAAAGCTGGTTTATTGTTCAATAATGGACATGGCTACCCTGCACTTAAAACGAGTGCATTTTGATACACTTTAATATGGGGTTGTGAACATAATGGAAGGGTAGATTTTCGCTGATCTTTGAGTTTCAGAACTATATTAAACAGACGTCCTAGATTTTAGTTTAGTCAACGCGAAGCAACGTTAACGTAATTTTTCCATTCGTTTTGATTTTTTTCCTGGATGATGGGTACCTTTGGTTTATTCCTAGCCACGTGTGTGCAAAATTTCATGAGGTATAAATGATGTAAGGTACAAAAATGTTGGTTTTTAGATCTTTTTTTATGGTATAAGGGAACAAACAAGCAGACGAGTCACCTAATAGGTGAGCAACTACCGCCGCCCAAGGACACCTGCAACTCAATAGTCACAAGTGCATTGCTGCCCTTGGAGTCCAAATCCCCCTTCCCGCTGACCCGAGCGGGAGGGGGGATTTGGCCTCCAAGCAATGGAATTAGGCTCCGGTAACCTCACTCACTCAGTGAAAGGCAACGAAAGAATTTCTTAACACCGGTTTTCTGTGAGGCCGTGGTATCACTCCAGTCGAGACGGCCCATTCATGCAGAAGCATGGCTCTCCCACGGCAAAATCCATATATGTATTTCACACTTATAGACCGAAGCCGGTTATGGAGCAATAAAAAACAGCTCACAGAGCGAAATGTATTACCTAAATGCATCATATACTTGAATTGAGAAGTTTACTTAAAACCTGTGCGTCGTGATATAGTTGCACCGCAAGTTCTTATAGTTAGCAAAATGTAATGCGTTTAAAACGTTTCTGTCTACCCCTTCGGGGATAAAAGACTTGAGAGTATACTAAGTATAATATCTATAGTTTGTTATTTAATAATATGTTACTGTTCATCATCATCATCATCATCATCATCATCAACAGCCTTTACTAGTCCACTGCTGGACATAGGCCTCTCCTTAGGAAGGAGGTTTTGGCCTACTATACCACGCTGGCCAGACGGGTTGGTATAGGGTTTGTTTCAAGTTTTCCTTCTCTCTGCAGTGCTGTTGTCCTGCGTAGTTTGCTTCCTTATGTTACTGTTATTTAGTTATAATAGGATAATACAAAAAAGAATCAAATCAATTTAAAATTAGAAGTAAACTAGGCATATCGTTATTAAAAATATTTCCTATAAACCACTTCAGTTGAAGTGTTGCCAGCTTAAATCCGCGACTAATTGCGTGTTGCCAGATAAGATAATATTCCCTGGAAAGTGGGACTTATCTGTATGCAATGTTATTAGCATGTCGACTGGTGACGCTATCATGCGTTTCGCTACCGTTTATTAATTTAGGGTAGGATTATCGTTATTTAATCTGTGATGATTGGTGAAGTGGGGAAATTTATTAGACGTCAATGTCATTGGACAATTTTTTTATCAATGTATTGCTAATATTATATTTAGATAACATGTTACAGTGAAATTAGTCTCGAGAAATATTTGCATATGTAGTGGTGTGTATATTACTCAGATCTTAGAGCGCGTTTCCACTATATCGTTCTTGCCTATACAAAAATGTTTCGATATCCTAACATTACTATTTAATTTTATACTTATCCCTAGCAACACTCTGATTTTTGTTTTCAATAAAAACAAGTTTTTATTTTAAAGAAAAAGGTTTTGACTTTATAAAAAAAAAGGTGTGTGTGCGATTCACACACGATAGAAGTGAAACTTCAAAGAGGAGAGACCGATATTTAAATTTTTTTTTTTTTCCTTTCATCTAGGTTTTTAAAACTCCGGGGGGTCTACGGGGGGGGTCAAAATTTTTGTTATTTTTGGCCTAGGACGCACCGTTTCCGAGATATTTCAATCTAAAGCAAAAAATCGTCACTTGATAGTGGAAAGTGGAAACACGCACAAAACCAGAATAAACCAGTTTACGCTGTCCGCTACCATACACTACTACAAACGCGAAAATTTCTCCAAGCTAATTTACCTGTACAATTTCTGTTTTAATTTAACCATGATACTTGGACAAAACTACTAGGTTTGTTCTAGTATGTTTTTTATGATCTAAGTCATGTATCATATCTGACTTAGAATTATGACCAAGTCATGAGTCACAAGTGCGTTGCTGTTCAGTAGAAATGGAACAAAATCACAGTGAACTGTGAATGACCGGTGATTTATCATTCGATTTTAGGTTAGGGTTATTATTTACTTACGCGTTGTTGCCAGTAACAATATAATAATTTCGCCTATTTAACAGTAAATCTAGTAATTATTTTATTATATTTAGCTACCATTCCCTACATAATAATGAAAAAAAGTACTAGATTTCATGTTAAATAGCATCTAACCTACCTACCTAGCAACCCCTTAACCCCCCCCCCCCCCTCCCCTCGGATACCACCTCTCGGTGGCATGTCGGACTCGAACCGACTAAAACCGCACGCCGTCTCGGGTACTAATAGCCGGGGAAACAGGTATACCCTAGAAAGGAAGTCCCTGGTGCTTACCTAGCAACCCTAACCCACGTACGCAAAAATAGAATGTTAAATAACAGTTTTTTTTTAAAGACTGCTCCCGCATTCCCGAATATATCCAGCGTCGTCGGGGTCTTTGCAAACATACATGTAACGGACACAAAGAACACCCAGACTCAGAACAACTATTTGTTGATCACGCAAAGTGTCGTCCCATGTGGGGATCGGACCCACAACACTCAGCGTAGTAGTGAGCGGCGTGGCGACCGCTTATACCACTACGCCAGCCGTGCAGTCTGTTCACTGTGATTGTGTCCCAATAGATATGGGACACTTCGGTTACTTGCCAAAACAAAAAAAAAACATATCGGCCGAGCTGGCTCTCTCACTGCTAAGTCTTAGTAATTATATATTTTGAGGTCTTAAAAATTTGCGGCCTTATTAGTTTGCGGTCACAGTAGTTATTTATTGGTATCATATATGAATCAATAACCTTAATCGAAATATCTTGTACCGGATGCAGAAACCAATCATATTTGAGAGGAAAATTTATATCTCAGTATATGGTTTATAAGGTTTATATGTGAATAATAATTCAATGGATGCGAGTTCGGGACATCCGGTGCGCGCGGAGCACGTGTCTCAACTTCCGGTAGAGCCATCTTTGCGCCCCCATCCCAGTCGTTTCCGGTTGTGATCACGCAACCCCTTGACGAGCCACGAAAACTTCGACCTTAGATGATACTAGATGTTTACATATGCTGTATAGTTTTTGTTAAAGATGGACTGGATTTATTTTTTTATGTCTGTTAATAATAATAAAAAATATGTAAATATTAATTAATTAATTGTTTAATTATATTTTTTTTGTAAGTAAATGTATTTAAAAATGCTTTTTTTTTAATTATATGTATCTATATTTACAGTAATAAAGAGATAATGATAACAGGAATACATTACAAATGATATATTGTTGTATTAGGTTGTGTTTGAGGATGTGTTGTAACACCTCGCATTGATCTTTAAGAGCAAAGCAACTTGTTATATTATATAATGAAACTTGTTTAAGCTAACATTAGACTTTTAATCTCATGGTTGTGGGTTCGAGCCCCACGTTGGGCGGATTATTTTCAGGATACATTTTGAAATTTATTTTAAATATGTTCTTGTTTATTCTGTGTGTTTATCATTGAACATGCTGTGTTTTCAAAACAAGAAACAACATTCTTATAGAAAGTTAGTAATTTACATTTACGATCGATTTTAAAGGCTAAATTCGTGGCCCTACACACTATTTCTTAACTGCATCTAACAAAATTAGGTATACTTTATATATGCTGCTTAAAGTTGAAATTAATTTAAAAATTTTAATTTTTTCGCAAGCTCTTCCCAAAAGGGATCGTTGACTATTCTAAGTGATATTTAGGTTTCTTTGTAAGTCTTACAACAGTTACAACTAGAATAAAACAACTTTTACAACTATTATTAAAAGTAATTATGTATTAAATAATTAATATTTTTGTGTGTGTATCATTGAAGTCCTGTATTGTGACTTTGAATGGGTTTTTGGAAGATTTAAAATTACAAAGCGACCCAGTAGACAGCACTGCTACCAGATTCTACAGTTTTTACGATTCTGTTTTGAATAAAATCCGAATAAACACCCGCAAAGTCATAGAAATTAATTTAATTAACCGACTTCAAATAAAGAAGAATGTTTTAAATTCAGACGTTCTATTATGTTTTTTACCTAAGAACTCTGACATAAACGAATTGTTTTTTTTTTATGTGTATATATTTCTCGTTTGGTCTTCTGAAAACGTCAATAGGAACTTATTAACTAAACAAAATCAACTAATCGAGTTTGAGCTCATTTGTTTTGGCTTGGATACTTATTTGTAAATACTTTAAATAAAATCTTTTTTACAAGAATGTTTTTACAAGTTATTTATTTAACAGTTAATCATTGTCGTTATTATTACCTACTATTAACGACAATTATATTTAACATCTTTTAATAATTCTACTATTACTAGTTGACCCGGCAAACGTTGTACTGCCATATAAATTATCAAAGAAATCAAATCGCAATTAAAAATGGTGGGGGTAGGAGGGTGAAAAATACTTTACGACCTATTCTCATGCCTACCAAATATACAAAAAAAAAACATTAAAATCGGTCGAGCCGTTTCGGCGATTGCAACCACAAACACCGTAACACGAAACATTAATTTATTAGATATAAAAACATTGACTTACCTATTTATACTTGAAACTGAAGGCACATTATCCTGGCTACAGATGCCCTCACTGAGCAGTCTGTCTCTGATCTCCCACGCGAACATCGTGGGGTTCTCCCTCTTGTACGCTGCTATCGCGTCCACCACTGGCGGGGTGGCAACCTTGGGCTTAGAACCACCAATAACACCAGCCTTGAAGCTACCAGTCTCGTAATACCTGGAGGAAGAAATGGAAGCACTAAATTGGAGGTTTTGCTGTCTTTTGATCAGTTCATATATGTTGGAATATTTTTTCTGTTACTAGGGTTGCCAAAGTTTACCGTGGGAAAGCCACGATTAAGGTCATAACTCCTTAGAACCACCCGGCACCTGACCAGCACCGCCTCGCCCTTTAGCGGTTAGTATTATTTGTAAGGAGCACTCTGGGTAAACGTCAACATAAAGTCCGGAGCGCCTCGCCAGCGGATTGACCACGTGCGGACGGCGAGTGGTTCATATATCGTATCGTATTCTGGTTAACAACTCGGCGTCCACCCGTGGACCACCCATCGACAATGAGTGGATACTGAGTCGAGGTGGTGCTGGTCGGGTGGGTGTACCTGGAGGTATGACCTTTAGACCTACAGAAAACTTGGTAGTAAGTACTTCTTTCATTGGTTTTATCGAGTGAGCAAGGTTACTGGTGTCCAAAACCTGCCTCCCCCCTAATGTAAGTGTAACACTTGTGACTCTTACTTGATTATGGTATCTATAGGCGGGTAGTGACAATCAGGTGACCGGTCTCCTCGTTTGCCTCCTATACTATAGAAGAACCACCGACGTTTATGAGCTTTTAGGGACTTTAAACTGCAGGTACAGAAGACTAACCCGCAAAATCATTTAAACAAATAGCGACTCTTCTGCACTCGTAATAAAGTATGATTTGCGTTGTACAACGTCAGGTAATAACTTGTGTGTAGGTCTGGTCTAATAAGGTGAGAATTTTAAATATTCCATTAAAATATTTAAAATATCATATTACTACTCGTACTAATAATCTAAAGTCTCACACGTTGCAATTTAAATGTCATTCAGCAATACAACACAGGGTTGGTCCACCCTTCTACTTGTTATAATCGAATTGTCATAGGGTAGTTATTTTATTGTAGGAATTTAATTATCTTTTTCTAATGCCATGTCCCACGAGGGCGTGATGATGTTGGTTATGGCTGATTTGGGAGTTGCCCATATGGACTGATTGTTTGGACTTCCGAACCTTTGTTAGTAGTAATAATATTAATTTTACTCATCTCACACATAGCAGTCTAATCCCAAGGTAGGCCTATGCTATGGTAACCAGATTGCCGATAAACATACATATAATTCTAAATACGTACACATTATAGATAAAATACACCCACACAGAACAAATGATCGTGCTCATCACACGATTATTTTTCCCGTGTGGGACTCGAACCTATGACCTTTAGGTCTGGTCTACCTAGTTATTATACAATTATAGGACGACCGGATGGCTTAGTGGTTTGTGTAACGGACTGCTATTCCAAAGGGTGCGGCTTTTATTCCCGCTCAAGTCACACAGTTGTGTGCATGAACATTTAATGTTTGATTTGGTCTGGGTGTTTGTGGTGTAATGTATTTATATCAGTTGTCTAGTACTCACAGTAAAAGCTCTGCTTAGTTTGGGACTAGATGGCTTTGTGTGAATATGGTAAAATATTATTATAACTATCTGTCTTCAATATTATCCAAATTTTCAGAGATAAGATTAACTAAATAGGATTATCGAGAAGTACCACACTTAACCAATTTGCGTTAGGGTGCATACACAGAGCTCTACGAAGCTTTGTGGAGCTTTACAAACGTCGTGATAAGTCAATTACGAGTGTGATCACACCCTAAGTGAGTGGTTCTTTGATGTACAGTTGAGACCAAAAACATTCATACATATTTATCTAGCTTTATTAGATTATAAAAAAATGTGTATGATTATATAACTAGTAGGCAATACAATACTCTGTCAAAAACTCATAATATCGACATCTGTGAGTCTTTCTCGAAATTTAAAAAGCGTTTAGGAAAATTTTAAGCTTAATGTTGTTTTTTGTTTGTGTTTTATTTTTCTCCTAATTTTTAATTTTATTGCACTTTGAAGGAGTACACAACAAATACCCGTGTGAAATGTATTTTTGCCATTTTGTGTACTTCCTTTATTGGAGATCCTTAAATACATAATCCGTAACAAAATGTATGAAGCCTTAAGCCACATAGCCCAAGCTAGATAAAACACAAAGCAATGCCCAATAAAAGTCTTCTGTCGTGGCCGTGGTAAGACGAACGAGAATCATCATCATTAGAATCATCAACACTATCACTACCATCATATCCTCTGTGGTTTCTGAATTTGTTTATAGCCATTGAAAAGAGTAGAATCCAACTCTTAGTCTCATCAGACCAGCTCCGTTATACCAAATGGACTGCACGGGTGGCGTAGTGGTTTAAGCGGTCGCCACACCTCTTCCTACTACGCCAAGTGTTGTGGGTTCAAACCCCACATGGGACGACACTTTGTGGTGATCCACAAATCGTTGTTCTGAGTCTGGGTGTTCTTTGTGTCCGTTTCATGTATGTTTGTAAGTATGTCATGTAAGTCCCCTGCGACACAGGATATATTCCTAATGCGAGCGTTGACTTATTATAAAAAAATATCTTTGTAGAATCTGGATCAAGACTGTTTTGGATTGTCGAACCGTAGTTCCGATGCTATGAGAATTATGTTCCTGTTAGTGCGTCACATTGATTTTACAAAAAAATAAAACTGTGTGCGAAGTACTTCTTAGGAGGTTAAAATTATTATCAAACAAAAGATGAAATTCAAATGATAACACTTGTCTACTCGACTGTCCTGTATTACCAAAAACAAGGGCGCTAGTCCCTAAAGGATCGGTGACATTATAGCAACGCCACCCTTGATATAGGGGTAGTTAGGGTTGGAGGTAGTGACAAAAAATAAATGTAAGTACTCGGAAGATTGCTCACTTGCAGTATTTTACTTAACTGCGCAAAAGGAAGGATAACAGTTTTTTTTTTTTAATAATAGATATTAATTCTGGATTCCATAAAGAAAGAACCATTTTCTTTTATTGTGGAATCCAAGACTAGATCAAATCCAAATGGCAAATTTATTCTGCGTTTTAAAAACGAGATCTTCTTGAAGCCATATATAAACCATAATTTTTATTAGCTTTGATGACCAGTGTAGTTGGATTCACACTGTTTAAACCTCCGGATGACGTGTTAATATATAATATACTGGACGCCTGTACTACTTCTACTTATTTTCTTTACTTTAATTGACTTTACTTGACTTTACTTTTGATTATTTGACTGCACGGATGGCGTAGTGGTTTAAGCGGTCGCCACGCCGCTTCCTACAACGCCGAGTGTTGTGGGTTCAAACACCACATGGGACGACACTTTGTGTGATCCACAAATTGTTGTTCTGAGTCTGGGTGTTCTTTGTGTCCGTTTCATGTATGTTTGTAAAGTCCCCCGCGACACAGGATATATTCCTAATGCGGGCGTTGTCTTTTTAAAACAAACAAACAAACAAAATTAACCTGGGGCTGCCTCCGAGCCCAGGCCTGCTCCTCATGACATTAGGTCACACTTTTCCAAATTAAACATCAGCAGGCCGTTGAACACCTATCGGAGCAATGCATGTTTGCCAACAGTAGGGGGACGGTGGGGGCCTTGTTGGAACAATCCATGATGATTACGATACTGTCGCTAAGATGGGGTATCATCAAACATGCGCTAAAATTAGGTATTCCCAATTTCACATTTCATTGTCTGAGAAAATAGCTTGAAGAAGGCTTTTAAGCCATTTCTTTTGCTATTATTTTTTCATCAAGCTTTGGTAGGCTTTTGCAAATATATAGCATTCATTGCATTCATTCAAAGACCCATCGTGTGTAGAACTTCACTTTCTACCATTTTACCATACAGATGATCAGCATTATTTTGTTACAAACACAAACAATTATAAAGATCTTAAATTCAAACATAACTTAAATTAATACCTAATAAATGCATCTTAATTTAAATACATTAAGAAAAAAAACAGTTGCAAATACACCACAAAAATAACACTTAAACATGCCACAACGCCGCTAAGCCGCTGTAAGGCACTCAAAGCCGCTGTAAGCCCCGATAAGCCCATTAGCCTCCCCTCCGAGCCACTATCTTGATTGTCAATATGCTCACCATTGTATCAACGACAAATTGCTTGTGAATATCGACATCGGTAATACAATTTGTATTATGTATACATGTCCGTATGTATCTATATGCCTATTTAATACTAACTTTTACATGCTATTTCGCTCACGTTATTGTCAATATATTTTACAAGGAAAAAACTGCGGGCCTCTGTTACCCGAGCGACGTCCGGACGCGGACGGGTTGTTTGTATCTATAATAACATGTAGAGTATAACTATTTTTCATATACGAGTCAAAATAATTAAGTAGTTTTATAATAAACACATATTACATTATACAAAAAAACATCATATCATCATCTGCCTACCCTTTTCCCAATTTTATTTGGGGTCGGCGCAGTATGTATGATTTTTCCATTCTTCCATTCTCACTGTTTACTCCCTTCCTAGCCATATCCTCCCTCACGCAGTCCATCCACCTTTTCTTCGGTCTGCCTCTTCTCTTGTACCCTTCAACTCCCAAACTAAAACTTTCTTCGCCTCATTTTCCTCATCCCTCCGCATGACATGTCCATACCAAGATAACCTATTACTTATTAACTTTTCATCCAGTGGCGCTACTTTCAGACTCCCTCGTATATACTCATTCCTAACCTTGTCCATCTGAGTCACACCACACATCCATCTCAGCATTCACATTTCGGCTACGTTCAGGCGTCTTTCATCCGTTCTCTTAATGGGCCAACTTTGAGAACCATACACAACCATACAATATAAACATACACATTTAAAGAGGTACACTTCTGTTTTATCGAATTTAAGTTAAAAAAAAACGTACTTTGAAATACACCTGTAGTAATAAAATGGTTGTTTATGAATTGAGATCACTTGACTAAGGGAGCAAACTATGCAAGAACAACAGCACTGTAAAGAGGAGGAAAACTTAACGCAAACCCTATACTAACTGGTACGCGTGGCATAGTAGGCCAAAACCT